GATTAGATAAGTAATTCAAAATTAATAATAATAAGATTATCCAAAATCTAAAAAGATATCTTATTATTAAAAATTATTTCCTATATATGTTGTGTCATTATCTGAAAGCATCTGTTAATATAAAAAAGTTACAAATTGAAGATACATATCTATACTATTAATCAAGTAAAAAATTTAAATTTTCTATAATTGAAAAGAAAATATTAAGTAATTTTAAATATTTATTTATTAACAAAGACTACAATATATAATTAAATTTTCAAAATTTATATTACGTAAGAACTTGCAAATAAAAACATATATAATAATTAGGATTATAGTTTTTAATTAGTAATGCATGTATTAATAAATAATAATAAAATGTTTAATTCCTTATGTGCGGACAAAATATCCATTTTCAGGAATTAGAAGAATAAAAAGCAATTAAAATAATTTAACAGCCGTATTTTGGTAACGTAATATTTTCTAAGAGTAATTTTTGTTGTCTGAAATAATATTTTTTAAAGTCAACGTTTAATTTATGTGCTAAATACAATTTACACTGTAGTCACATGTTGCTTGCGTTACACGAGATAGAACAGTTTGTGTATGGACAGGGAAAAACGGCCACCTAAGTTTATAAAACACTAATTTCCAATAAAATTTTATGTTCACACACACAACATGCAGATTTTGAGATGCAACCAAATTATATAGAGATCATCTACGGTAGCTAATTAATTATCTTTAATCGATTGGGTTTCATGCAGAGTATTTGCGTTATGAATCTCCTTACAAACAAAACGATTCGATCTTTCGAGAATACAAGAACAGAAGAGATCAATTTGTTAATGGGGAAGCTTGAGAAAGCGAGTTCTTCTTCTTCACCAGTAAACCTAAGCAAGCTCTTCATTAATTTTTCAAACGATGTTATAACCAGAGTAGTCTTGGGGAAAAAATATAGCAGCGAAGGAGGTGAATATATTTCCCAAAACGTAGTGAGAAAATTCATGGAGCTCGTGGGCGCTTTCCCTCTCGGCGATTTCATTCCCAAGTTGGCATGGATAGAAAAAATCCGAGGTTTGGATAAAAAAGTGGAGGAAGTATATAAAGAGATTGATGGTTTTCTTGAAAAAGCAGTACAAGATCATGAAAATGCAGATGAAGAGAGATCAGATTTTGTATATATGTTGCTATCAGTTCAAAGAGATAAGACGGCACCATTTGAGTTTGAGAGAAGGGACTTAAAATTCGTCCTCCTGGTAAAGCATTTTTAACCTATTTCAAAGCATTTTTAACCTATTTTCAATAAGAAAAAAAACTTAGTTATCATGTTTTTTTGAATGACTAAGAAGTTCCGGTTCCGAAGACTCGTACGTACTAATTTTTTTTTTTTTTTTTTTTTTTTGACATCGACTCGTACGTACTAATCAAATATTATTTTTATTATTTTTTGTTTAAATTTGATCGTGCTAATCAATTATACTAGAGGGACGTAATAATATAGTTTTTGTTTTCTTGTTTTTTGTAGGATATGTTGTTTGGGGCAGCGACAACAACTTTTGCACTATTAGAGTGGACAATGACAGAGCTTATGAGACATCCAGAGTGTATGAAGAAACTCAAAGATGAGATTTGTTCTATTTCAACCCACAGGTTATATGTAACGGAAGAAGAAGCTGAGAAGATGAATTATTTAAATCTTGTGGTTAAGGAGGCGCTTCGACTACATCCCGGGGTTCCAATAGCTCCCCGACAGTTGAGTGAAGATGTCAAAGTACATGGATATGACATAGCTGCAGGAACACAAGTAAGTCTTTGCATCTTGTATTAACATCAAACCCTAATGACAATGAGTATTTTTGAAAGATAAAATGTGTATTTTGGAACACAGGTGCTAATCAATATATGGGCAATCCAAAGAGACATTTCAGCTTGGGGACCAGATGCAGAGGAGTTTAAGCCAGAGAGGCATTTAGATACGGTTGTCGATTTTCAAGGTCAAAATCTCAAGTTTATTCCATTTGGTTCAGGGAGAAGGCAATGTCCTGGAAGCGGATATGTAGTAGCATTGGTGGAAGTCACATTGGCCAACCTAGTGAAACGATTCGACTGGAAAGTTGACGTAGGTGCAATGGGAGATGATAAGCCTGATCTAACTGACGCAATTGGTATTGATGTCTGTCGCAAGTACCCTCTTATCGTTTGTCCATCTTCTGTTTAATACGTTATGTAAGAGTTGTTTTATGTGTGAAATATGTAAAATAAACTAAGAAGAGGAGAAAACTAGGTAAAAGACGCTTGTGTTGATTGAATATATTCTCAGATGTTGTAAAAGCACCCATAATGGTTTTTTTAAAAAGGATTCTACCTAATATGAAAAATGAAAAAGGAAAAAGGTGTAGAAATTTGAGATGAGTATCTCAAACTAAAAATTCAAAAAAAATGAGAAATCCATTTTCACATGTGATAATACAAATGATTTAGTTTTCTTGTTTAAATTTTAATTATATAGCTAAATTTGTATGTAGATATTGATATTGTATTTGGTTAGAGTTTATAAATAGATCCAGAAGACTCTAACTCGGCTTGTCTGGTTCCTAATTAGTCTTACAAGGCTTCTTGCATTGTTTACAGATTCAAAATATACTAATATATAAGATGCTCATGTTGACAAATAACAGGCGTGTTCACAAACTCAAAGGGGAGAATGGAAAGTCCAGTATATATATATAGTGGACTGGAGTGGAGGGGGAGCGGGAGTGATTATATCATAAATGTATTTACTTTGACAAAGCCCTGAGACAAGCCCATCCCTTTGGAACTCGCAGCCTCCTTGGTTTGGTGAGATAGGAATGTCATGAAGAACTTGGTAAGATATTAAACATCAAGTTTTCCTTTTTTAATTCTTACGGGTTATACCTTCTTTATGCTGAACTTGCAATCAGTTTTCTGCTTTTAATAACAGTGATGGTGAATTGGTGCACACGTAGCATAGTTTCTTACGTGAGTTGGGACGTTTTTAAAAATTATATTTGAGATATTTTGTTAATGATAATAAATTAAATTAACTGTAAGGAGACAGTGATCACTGATCAGCATCCATAGAGCATATTCCAACTAAACACTTCGACAGTTGGCATGCCCACTCTTTGTGTTTAAGTTGTAATTTAAAACAATCGTTTCAAAACCCCACCATAATTTTTTTAATAACTTTGACTAAATCGGTAAAAAGTCTTGGATTTTTTTTAGGGAAAATCCGGTTCGAGCTTCCCACTGTAATAAAATACTCCATTCGTTTAAAAGTATTTAATGTTTTAGAAGATTTATACTATTTTAAAATATAAGATATTTTGAGGTGTTAATATTAATTTTAATTTTTTGGAAACTGTTTAACTAATTAAATTTTACAGTCTTTTTCATAATTAGTTAAATCATTTAAAATTATATCATTAAAAACGTTTTTTAAAAGAATGTAAAATTTCATAAATTTTGTGCAATAAACCAAACCATCACACATGAAGAAACGGATGGAATCATTTAGCTCAAGTAAACCTCTACATAAAGCCAAAATCGAATTAGAATTCAAATTTGAACACATAATCATGTAAAAATAGCATCAGAGAAAGTGATAAGTGTAATGAACCGATAAGAAATGTGTGAATTTGAAAGAGCGACGATATACATTGAACCTGGACGTGTTTTTGAACTATGGCAAGTCGGTCGTCGTGACATTTTCTTGGAATTTCCGAATGATTTGTCATCATCTACCATCTTCCACGACTACAGTTTATTTTTCTTTATAATTGTATAAAATTCATTTTAATTAAACAGATATTTGTTTCATCCGTTTATAGCAAAAAATAGCTGTGAATCAGTTACAATTTCATTCATATGAGGACACAAAATCTTCTTATTAAAATTTCCCATATACAAATTGGTTAATACTTTAATCAAGAATTAAAAAAAAGTGACATAACTCTTAACTATAGAAGAAGAAGAGGAAGTATAAATAGTTGTATAATCGTGATGGCCATTGACTTTGGTAGCAACTGTTCAATTGAGAGAAAGAGGTGGGAATATGATTACGTCGACAAGGCTTTGTGCTCGAACCATTCCTTTACGGTGGCTTTAGTTGGCGGAATATACTAGTGGAAATGATAAAGGTGAGAAAGTATGTTCCACTACATTCATTTTTCATAGATACTATAAGTAGTGAGAATTCTTTTTTTTCTCCGTAGTACATGTAACAATCAAACATGTCATCCAAGAGACATTTGAAAAGAAAAAAAAAAAAAACTAAAACGAAACAAGATATCTTACCAAAGTCTTGATAATCGATGGCATTACAAAGAGTTTGTTTGTGTCCGGATTCAAACTATTTTTAGCACGGGGTGATATTTTAAAAATCAGAACTCAAAAAACTGATTTCTGATTTGTGAGATTATGAATATTTTTTGTCATCAATAAAACAGATTCAGTTAGAACTATGTAAACCAAATAGAGAATTTTGTGTCTTATGTGAGAGACTGTAAGTTTGAGATCCGTAATTTCTCTGGTTATAAAAAATAGTTTAACATGGACCTTGTAATAAAATAGAATACACAAGTAAATAAACATATGGTCCAACCCTTTTAGAATTGTCATTTTGTATTCTAGTTCCTTCCGTCAAGAGATGAACTGTGTGTTTGACAAAAGAATACTTCCAGATATCTTTTGTGTATATGGAGACTTCTTTTAATAGTATTTTCCAAAATTGTATCATAAAATTATGTATCTCAAAATTTTCCACAATTTTTATTTCTACAATATTCTTGTAGTGCCACTCAAATTATGGCAAATTATATAGTGGGATCCAACGTGTGTCAGAAAATAATAAAAAAAGAAATGTTCTAGAGAAGGAAAATAACTCACCAGAAGAAAAAAACAAAAACAAGAGATACATTGAACCTAGACATATGCCCACCCAAAGGCCAGTTACCATGACTCCTATAAAATAGGAATATTCAAGAACCCAAATCAAGAACAAGAACAACACAAAGCCAACAAAAGAAAAAAAAACTCAATACAATAAAAAAAACAAAGAAACTACAAAATACAAATGGGGAAAGGAGGAAATTTTGTGACGGTGGCAGCTTCAGAGGTGGAGGAGCTACGGCGGAAGAACGGAGAGATGGAAAAAGCGGTGGAGGAAATGAGGAGAGAGATGTTGCAGCTGTGGCGGAGGACTCAGGTGGCTGAGGAGGCAGAGGAGCGTCTCTGCTCTCAGCTAGCCGAGCTCGAAGCTGAATCGCTTGACCAGGCGCGTGATTACCAATCTCGCATCCTCTTCCTTGTGAACGAACTCTCTCGCCTCTCTTCCTCGGATTTGGCCTCGCCCTAGATAGATAGACACATACGTATGTATGTGTAAGAATAGATTCTGTAGAGTTTTTCTTTTTCTTTATGTTTATAGATCTCAAATTTCTGCTTGGAAAATTTAGTGTAAACAAAACCGATGTAGTTTAAAAAAAAAGGAATGAAAGTCTTTGAAGGTTAAAGCATTGTCTTAATTTTAATTTTAAATATAGAAAAGTACTTTGACCAGAAAGAAAATATATAACAGGACAGTACAAAGCCTCCTAACTTTTTTTAATAAAAATTTGGATTTCAAAAAGCTACCAACAAAGGAAGAATGTTTTATTTTGTTATTGTTTCTGTATGTGATGAGGAGGAGATATCCAATTGTAAGATAACCTCGAGTAATTACAATGACATGTTGATAAAATAACGAAAGCTTAGCCTAAGTAGCTTTAACCATGAACCACATACATGGATCTCGTATCCACAATAGTTTTACTAAGTAAATGAGCATACAATTTAGGGATACAACTCCACTCTTGCAATGATTATATTTTTGCTATTGCAGTTGTGATTGTAGTGCTTCGTTTCTTTCTTTCATACGAAATTCAGAACATATATCTTATTTAACAAAGATTTTCTTGTGAATTGTAAATGCAGACACCAAATCAAACAGGAAAATTATATTGTATTCTATTTTTTTTCCTACTTATTTACACTTTACAAAACATAATAGAATTATGTTATTGTCATATGTCAATGCAAATAATAGTGAGTGTGAATCGTTTTTCTTATCTCAAAAAGAATGTCCTGGTTCAACTGATTCGGGCGACCATAAAGGATGGTGTAGCTAATTTTATATCTACCAGAAATAATAGGAAAGCTAAACCCTATAGAGAAAGGATATACTTGGTGGGTAAATAAAAAGATCCCATAGTCTCACATCATATGCCTCCAGTCCGGATCATTTTCATGAGTATATATGAGAATATGAGTAATGAATATATATTAGTTGGTTCAGATGTTGATGTGATACCTACCTAACGAAAATACACCATTTCTTATTCAACCACCGTTTTGAATGGGGTGAAACGTAACCGGATTTTAAAGGAAATTCCGGATGGTCATGGCTCCAACAACTCAAATGCAATTGGTCTTTCCTTGAAATAAGATTGTCTACTTTTATACATCTTACTCAACAAATATATAAAAAGAATGTGATGAATATATATAAAGACAAATCATACACAGTTCAGAATATTGTATTAGAGCATGATTATTGCAAAAATCAGTAAGGGTTCTTTAAGTGGGGCTTTGTGATTTCTTAATTATTAAAATTAAGATAAGGAACTTTGGTAAGGGATACTTAATTGTAGTGGTTTATTGCAAGTCCCTTAATTAATGTTATTATGAATAAAAAATAATATTTTTTTTAAAGAAGATAAACTTTGATTATTAAATAAAAAAAAAACAAACATAACATATTAAACATAGATTTTAAAATATTAATATAAAAACATAAACGATAATAATTAGAAAGAGGCATCAAACTCAGTTGTTGTCTTGAGAATGTCCAAGTTTATGCCATAAATGTTCAACCAAAATCCCGTTTCAGTTGTTGATGCACTTTTTTATCACGAATTCTTGATCGACCATCCATATTATTGGCGACATTTGTAGGGATATATGTAGAATAGCTGAGATCGACATGTAAACTTCCGCTGTCTTCTCCGTGTTGAAAACCCAAAACATCAAATTGAGTGTATCCATCTCGTTCATCTTCTACTATCATATTATGGAGTATGATACATGCTCTCATAATCTTCCCAACCTTGAATTTATCCCAATAAAGTGCCGGGTTTTTAATAATGGCAAATCGTGCTTGCAAGACTCCGAAAGCACGTTCGACATCTTTGCGGGAGCTTCTTGATGTTGAGCGAATAAAGCTGCTTTCGGCTCTTTCAGAAGTGAAATAGATTGGATAAAAGTTGCCCATTGCGGATAAATACCATCGGTGTGATAGTAAGTCAAATTATACTCTTTTCCGTTGACCGAGAAATTCGTTATCGGTGCTTGACCATTTATTATGTCATCAAAAACAGGTGAGCGATCAAGAACATTGATATCATTTAAGGTACCCGGAGCTCCAAAAAACGCATGCCATATCCAGAGATCAGATGAAGCGACCGTCTCCAAAACGATTGTGGGTGGTTTCGAACCACGTGAATATTGTCCTTTCCAAGCTGTGAGATTATTCTTCCACTGCCAGTGCATACAGTTGATGTTTCCTATCATACCGGGAAATCCACGATACTCACCAACATCAAGTAGACGTTGTAGATCAGCATGTGTTGGTCTTCTTAGGTATTCATCGCCGAACAAATCAATTATTTCTTGGACAAAATTTTCTAGACATAATCGAGTGGAGGCTGAAGCGAGCCTGAGATATTCGTCGACCGCATCAAGCGCAGAACCATATGCCAACACACGAATAGCCGCTGTACACTTTTGAAGTGTAGAGAGACCAAACCTTCCGAGACCGTCTCTTTTTTGTCGAAAGAATGGAACTTCATTGGTGAGACGCTCAACAATACGCATGAACAATGGCTTGTTCATTCTAAATCGTCGCCGGAAAAGATTAGCAGGATATGTTGGAGTTTCACTAAAATAATCATTCCATAAACGCATATGGTCTTCTTCACGATGTCTCTCGATAAAAATTTATTTTTTCCTTGGCCTCCTTTCGTTTTCTTGATCACCATATATAGTGCACAAACTGTCAAACGTTTGATCAAATTGTTGATCAAAAAATTCATCAAACATTTGATCAAGTGTTTGTGGTGTTTGTGATTCTTCCTCAAATTCTTGATGTGATTCTTCCTCAAATTCTTAATGTGATTCTTCCTCAAATTCTTCGTCATTGTGATGTGAGGAAGATGCCATGAGAGATTTGTTTGTATGAAAAGATATGTGTTATGTGTTTGTGAGAGATTTGTTTGTATGAGAGAATTGAGAAATTGAGAGAATGGAGAATTGAATGTGTTCGAATGAGTGAATCTTGTGACATATATATAATCAAAATTGTTTGTACAATCTCGTGACACAAAAAGACACGAGTACAACCATATACATAGAAATCTCTACCTAGAAATCTCGTGACACACAAAGACACGAGTACAACCATATACATAGAAATCTCGTGACACACAAAGACACGAGTACAACCATATACATAGAAATCTCGTGACACACAAAGACACGAGTACAACCATATACCTAATAATCAAAAAGACACATGAGTACAACAACCACACACACACACACTCTACCTAACAATATCGTGACTCCACTCTGTGTCTCTGTATCCTCCTAGTCTTTCACTCTATCTCCACTCCTGAAACATCAACAAGAAAATATATGAGTTAGTTGAGAACAACAAACGTGAAACAGACGAGTCATTTAAAATACACATAACAGTTAGTGGAGAACATCAACTTATATTAGACTTCGAGTCATTTAAAATACACATAACTCAAAGACGAAAACCATTTAAATTAAACATGAAACCTTGAACAAGAAACATAACAAGAACAGAAAATATTAAACATGAAACAGAACAAGAACAAGCAACTTTAAACTTAAAGACATCAACCATTCAACATGAAACATTAAACATGGAACATTAACCTTAAATACATCAACTTTACTCTACGAGCAAGTCGGTTATGAGCTTCTTTTTTAGTGATTCTTCATGTTCAGCAACTCTGGCTCCTTTCGCGAGAAGACTTTCCAGCAGTTTCATCTTAGACGACCTCTCTTCCATCTTAGATACCCTCTCTTTCGCCTCCAAATCTGCCTTTTTGATAGCACACATAGTCTCAAACTTATTGAGATTATTATCCACTTCAACCTTCTTCTTACCACTTGCCTTTGCAGCCTTCACACCTTGTGGACGCTTCAAACCTTCTGCCTGAGAACTCTCTATCTCTGCACCTTCCTCACAAGTCCTCTTCCTCGAGCTCACAGCCTTTTTAGCAGTACCAAGGGAGCACCACTTATGGTCGTACCGTCGATCTAACCATGCATGCTCTAGAGAAAAAGTTTTCTTCTGGTCTTTTTCGGATATTTTATGAGCTTCTTTCAAGACATCATCTTCATTCTGACCGCTACTGAGCTTTCTAGTAGCAGCCTCATACGCTCCAGCGAATTTGGAGACTAGGTCATTGATGCGGTGCCAACGCTGCTTGCAGTGCCTTGACTGTCTCTGATCCGAGCCACCATCACCAGCACTTGCCTGAAAGTAGGCAGCAACTCTAGACCAAAATGCTCCTCTTCTTTGCTCGTTGGCAACCATTGATTTTATCCAACTGTAAAGATCAAAGACAGAGTTTTACCTTTTATAAAATTTCGTAGGGGTGGAGGAGGAGATTTTGTCTAGCAACTTTGACCTCCTCATCGTGAACAAATCATCTGCAAACAAAAAAAAAAACAGAAAATAAAGAACAAATCAAAGATAGAAACTTGTGTAAAAATCTCTAGACTCATGATGAAATAGACAAATAAAGACATGCAACTCATCTTTTCTTCGGATTCGCCGACACATCGTCTTCCTCCGTCTCTCAAACAACTATTCAGAGATCTCGCCGTTTTCGTCGATCGATGAGACGAACCCTAGGAAGGGACGCTGTTTTCCGTCGTCATCACCGAGAGCAACACCGTTCACTGAGGAGAACCACCAATTGTGAAAGAAATCGGCGAGAAATCGCCTTTCGCCATCGGTAAAGGAGATAGAAGGAAGAAAGAAAGAGTGAATAAAAAAAGACAAAACATTGGGACTCCACCTGTGTTCAGGCGAATGATGTGCCGACACGTGGCCCGAAGGGGCGTGCTTTCGTGACCTTCCCGAAGGTACGTGCTTTCCTTTAATCACTCATATTTACTTATTTTTAATCTCATTTTTAAGGGATTGCAATAATCATGGTCTTATTTCGTTATTAAAGACAAAACACTACAGTATTTCTTTCTTTTTGTTTTTCTTTTTCTTTAAAGCACAATGACGACCAAACCCACGAGCCACCGACGATGACGTTTCATATGCTTTATTAAGTGATTAATTCTTGCTTATTATTCAAGTGGAGATATTTTGGTTAAACAGTTATTAAGCACAACGAGATGTGAATTTGTTTTCACAATTGAGCTTCATTACTCTTAAACTATATAACAAATACTCAACATAACCAAATATTTAAGTAATGAATTTTTGGATATATCTGAGGTAGTTTTAATATATCTTTGCTCATATGCTTCCAAAATTATATACTCCCTCCGTTTCATTTTAATTGTCATTCTATGTTTTTGCACACAGATTAAGGAAACATTTAATTTTACTTATTTTCAAGAAAAAAAAACACAATTACCTATACACCTAACCACTTTTCAACCAATAGAAAAATAGAATATTATATAAAACTAATAAATTTTGTATCGAAACTTGAAAACGACACTTATTTTGAAACGAGTTTTTTTCTCCAGAAGGACAATTAATTCGAAATGGAGGGAGTAGTAATTTGCATCCTTTCTTAACCAATAATGATTAATGAACCTTGTAAGAAAGCATTGTTTGGTCGCCCGATTAATATTAATTAGGCTTATTTTAGGCCTACAATAGATTCAGCAGTACGCGTAGTTCATGTTTTTTGCTTATAAATAGGCGTCGCACATGGTTATTAACCTAAACTGACATGTACTTTTCAAGTTTAAAGATGAGATAAAATCATATAAATGTCATGGACTTGTTAAACCATCAATTTTTCTTTTTAAACTTATTATTGGTTGTACGTTTTTTTATGTTGAACTTGCAATCAGTTTTCTGCTTTTAATTACAGTGACGGGAAACTGGTGCACACGTAACAGACTTTCTCACTTTTAAAATCTATTTGAGATATTTTGTTAATGATAATAAATTAATAAACTATAAAAAGATAGTGATCACTGATCAACATCCACAAAGCATATTTCAACTAAACATTTTAACAGTTTGCATGCCTACTCTCTGGTTATGCATTATTAATTTAAAATAGTCGTTTCAAAATCCCAGCACAATCTCGGCTAAACCAGTACAAAGTCTTGGATCTTACGAAAAGAATCCGGTTCGAGCTTCCCACTGTAACAAAATATCTAACTAACTTTTCATATGGCTCAAGCAAACCTCAAAAATCAAATCTGAAAATAGATATCATGAGTTACAAAAAAAAACATATATATCATGTAAAAATAGCGTAAGTGAAAGTAATAAATGTAATGAACCGATAAGAAATGAGTGAATTTGTAAGAACGACAAGATACATTGAACCTGGACGTGTTTTTGAACTATGGCAAGTCGGACGTGACATTTTCTTGGCATTTTCTAGTGATTTGTCATGATCTGCCATGTTTCACGACTCTGTGTTTATTTTTTTCTTTATAATACCGTAAAATTCATTTAAATCTAGACAGATATTTATTCACTAGATTATTGCAAAAACAGCTGCGAATCAGTTACAACTTCATTCATATGAGGACACAAAATCTTCTTAGTAACATTTCCCATATACATAACACTCACAAGATAGTTAATACTTTTTTTATTTTGAACTGAGGCTTTCTATTTAAACAGATAGTTAATACTTTAATCAAGAATAAAAAAAAGAAATGACATTACTTTTAACTATAAAGAAGAGGAAGTAAATAGTTGTATAATCGTGACGGCCATTGACTTTGGTAGAAACTGTCCAATTGAGAGAAAGAGGTGGGAATATGCATGATTACGTCGACAAGGCTTTGCTCTCAGAACCATTCCTTTACGGTGGCTATAACTGGCGGAATATATCAGTGGAAAGGATAAAGGTGAGAAAATGATTCCCACTACATCCTTTTTTCTAGATACAAGAAATAGTGAAATTTATTTATTTTCCTTATTAAAATGTAACAATCAAACATTTCAGCTAGAGACATTAAAAAGTCTAAAACAAAACAAGATATCTTTACCAAAGTTAAGTAGTATTGCTAATCAATGTTATTACAAAGACGTTAGTTCTTTGTGTTCTGGATTCAAACTAGTTTTAGTACAATGTAATATTATAAAAATCCTGATTCCAAAAAACTGATTTTAGATTTGTGAGAGATTATGAGTTTAAAATCCATGATTATACGGTAAATATATAAGGCACAAAATAGTTTAACATGGACCTTGCAATAAAACAGAATACACATAAGTGAATGAAATTTATATGGTCCAAGCTTTTTAGACTTATCATTGTGTATGCTAGTTCCTCCAAGAGATGTACTGTGTGTTTGACAAAAGAATACTTCCAGAGTTCCAGGTATTAAAAGCTAAAGCTACAGCGAGTTTACGCGTATTCTAGACTAGTATCTTTTGTGTATATGGAGACTTCTTTTAATAGTATTTTCCAAAATAGTATCATAAAATTATGTATATCTCAAAATTTTCCACAAATTTTATTTCTACAATATTCTTGTAGTGCCACTCAAATTATGGCAAATTATATAGTGGGATCCAACGTGTGACAGAAAATAATAAAATAAGAAATGTTCTAGAGGAGGAAAAAAAAAAAACGAGAACATGAGATACATTGAACCTAGACATATACCCACCCAGAGACCAGTTACCATGACGCCTATAAAATAGGAGCATTCAAGGACCAGAAGAAAAACACAAAAGGCAACAAAAAAAAACTAAAACAAAAAAAAACAAAGAAACTTTTTTTTTCTTTTTTTTTTAACTGAAAAATAACAAAACAAGAAACTTCAAAATACAAATGGGGAAAGGAGGAAATTTTGTGACCGTGGCCGCTTCCGAGGTGGAGGAGCTACGGCGGAAGAACGGAGAGATGGAAAAAGCGGTGGAGGAAATGAGGAGAGAGATGCTGCAGCTGTGGCGGAGGACTCAGGTGGCGGAGGAGGCAGAGGAGCGTCTTTGCTCTCAGCTAGCCGAGCTTGAAGCTGAATCGCTAGACCAGGCGCGTGATTACCAATCTCGCATACTCTTCCTCGTGAACGAACTCTCTCGCCTCTCTTCCTCCGACTTGGCCTCGCCCTAGATTGGTTGATAGACATATACGGATGTATGTATAAGGATAGATTCTTAGGTCGATGCATGTATCTGTATTTATAATGTTGGCTCATATCAATGCCAATTCTGTAGAGTTTTTCGTTTTTTCTTATTGTTTATAGATCTCAAATTTATAGTATGAACAAAAATCGATATTGTTAGAAAAAAAGCGATGAATGTCTTTGAAAACTAAAACAAAAGATAATTCCATTTTTTAGTTTGAAATATGAACTTGTTTTATTTATTAAGAATCTGGATTTCGAAAAGCAAATTAACTAACGAAGAATATCTTTACAGTAGTTTGTCATTTTTTTCATATGTGAGGAGATATCCAATTGTATATTTGTAAATGACCTCAAGTAATTAAAATGGCATATTTGATAAGATAATTTATTAATAAAACAGTCTATGTGTTTTTGTTGTTGTTGGCCTCGTTGACCGCTAGTGGCGTTCCAACAACGGTTTGGGTCTTTCTGGAGTATTTTACATATCAAGTTTATTGCAAGAAAAAAGATAGTCAGATCGGGGAAGATGTTGTACTTTTGTGCCATAACGAAAGCTTAGCCTAACTGCTCCCTTCTATCATGAATCACATCCATGGATCTCGCATCCACAATATGCAATCTATTTAGTCCGAAACCTGTCATATTAGTTTTGTTTCTAATGTTGTTCAAATTTATGGTTTCTAAGTTTTGGCTATGGTAAGTTTTTAGTTGAGTTAACGATATTTGATTCTCTTTATTAGTTTTAGAAACTAAATTTAAATGTTTTAGGAACACAACACCACTTTTAAGTTAATTGTTTGTTTGCTATTGCATTTTATTTTGTTTTTGCTAACTTTTGGCATTTATAGGGCTTGTAGTAGGCTTTTTTGAAAACTAGTTTATATTTTTCTTTCTTTATCCTTTTTCATGAAATTTTCTTGTCAATTAAAATGCAGAAACCAAAACAAAACAGGAAAATATATTATGATTCTATATTATTACTGTACATGTTTACATTTTACAAAAAAAAAACATTACAGAACTCTATAATTTTCACATGTAAATACAAATACTATTGAATTTATCTTATCTCAAAAAAGAATGTCCATGTTCAAAAGATTCGGGAGGCCAGAATGGTGTAGCTAATGTGATAATTACCAGAGATTAGGAAAGCTTTACCCTATAGAAAAGGATATACTTGGTGGGCAAAATCAAAAGATCCTATATATATATGATATATGGCCTCACATCATTTGCCTCTGGGTCAGTTTCATGAGTAATATGTTTATATCCATTGTTTTAGATGTTGATGTGATACCTAACTTGAACAACCACAGTTTTGTATGCTGAAACGCAACGGGTTTTTTAAAGGAAATTTAGGATGGTCATGGTTACAATAACTCAAACGCAATAGATCTTTCCTTGAAAAACATTGTGTATGTTTATACATCTCACTGAACAAATATGTAAAGAGAACGTAACGAATATAAAGAAAATTATACACGGTTCAGAAATTTTCATTATTAAAGCCAAAACACTACAGTATTTCTTTCTTTGTTTTTTTTTTTTTTTTTTTTTAAAGCACAATGACCATGCCACCACCCACGAGCAACCGACAATGACGTTTCATATTAATTTAGTAAGTGATTTTGCTTATTATTCTAGTGAAGATATTTTGGTTAAACAGTCATAATTTTATAAAGGAGCTTCATTGTTCTCAAACTATATAACAAAATATTCAACATAACCAAATATATAAGTATGAGTATTTGTATATTTCTGCGATAGTTTCAATATATTCTGCTGAAATGCTTCCTAGAATTATATAGCAACCTGCATCCTTTCTTAACCAATGATGATTAATGAACCTTGTAAGAAAGCGTTGTTTGGTCACCCGATTCATATTAGGCTTATTTTAGGCCGACAATAGATTGAACAGTATGCATAGTTCGTGCTTTTTCGCTTATAAAAAGGCGTAGCACATGGTTACTAAACTTAAATTGACATGTTCTTTTAAGATAAGTTAGTGTAAGGACTAAGGAACATGGTGACTTGTATTATAGGAATAATCCTAACCATACCAACTAATGGCCCATATTAAACAAATATTGGGTCTAAAACCCATCAAAAATTTTGCTAAAATCCATGTGTTTAGGTCTCTGTTAAATTGCATAATTAGATTCCCTTAGATAAAATGATCAGATTACTGCTCGTCTTGTATATTGGTAGAAGTTTTGATTGCCAATTTAAAATCAGATAGAATGTAAATACTTAAGGTATTTTACAAAAAAAAATATATAGAAGGCCATAAAAATTTGGTCAAATTTTTTGGCTACGGAATCTATATAATAATAGTACACTTTTGAAGCTTCTGAGCCTGTCCACGTCAGCAAGTTTGCGGACCCCATGCATATTATTAGGGATAACAAAAACGTATAAGATTTTGTAAGATTGAATGTTATTAATGAGTGATGAAATGGCCCAGTGGTGTAAGTTGGTGATGAGAAGTTGGTACCAAGTGTGCGCGCGTTCAAAACGCAGTGCTTGCATGTAATTTTTTTTTTTAATTTGGGCTTTTCGGGATACCTAAAAGCTTAGGGAGATTCAGAATGACTTTTTATGCTGGTTGTTGGGATACTAAATGGTTTAAGGATTTAAAACTTTTTGAGACCATCTTAGATACTTTTATAAGAAAGGTTATCATGTTCTAACCTCCAATATCTTTTCAATTTAGTTATAATCATCAAATAAAATAAAAACATATTTTTAATAATAAATATTTACCCCGAACCATTCAGATCGGCCATAAATCTCATATACATCACAATTAAATATATATATATATATATATATATATATACAACATCATTTCAGAAAGAAAATTACACTAATAACCACATGTCCTTTTTTGTCTTGTCTCCATTAAATTATTTTTTTAATGGTCGATAAAATCTATATAAAGGGAATGCTAGATAAAATCACTAAGAAGATAAAATATGAAAATATCAACTCATATGAATTCGATGTTTATTCTTTTGTCAGACTAATCAAATTGTGTGACTTCTAATGTTTCATTCATCACCATTATAGATAAGGTAGATAAACAAATGTTAAAAAAAACCAGCAAAGTCTCATACACAAAACTACACAACACATCAACAATGTATCCAACCCGGACTATGCATCTAGTATACACAATTTGTCAGATATTCTTATAACACTTCAAAATTCATTAGATAACAATTTGAAGATGTGTTTTTTTTTTTAATTTGGGCTTTTCGGGATACCTAAAAGCTTAGGGAGATTCAGAATGAATTTTTATGCTGGTTGTTGGGATACAAAATGGTTTAAGGATTTAAAATTTTTTGAGACCATCTTATATACTTTTATAAGAAAGGTTATCATGTTCTAACCTCCAATATCTTTTCAATTCAGTTATAATCATCAAATAAAATAAAAACATATTTTTAATAATAAATATTTACCCTGAACCATTCAGATCGGCCATAAATCTCATATACATCACAATTAAAAAAAAAATATATATATATATATACAACATAATTTCAGAAAGAAAATTACACTAATAAACACATGTCTTTTTTTGTTTTCTCCATTAAATTATTTTTCAATGGTCGATAAAATCTATATAAAGGGAATGCTCGATAAAATCACTACGAAGATAAAATATGAAAATATCAACTCATATGAATTCAATGTTTATTCTTTTGTCAGACTAATCAAGTTGTGTGACTTCTAATGTTTCATTCATCACTATTATAGATAAGGTAGATAAACAAATGTTTAAAAAAACCAGCAAAGTCTCATACACAAAACTACACAACACATCAACAATGTATCCAACCCGAACTATGCATCTAGTATACACAATTTGTCAGATATTCTTATAACACTTCAAAATTCATTATATAACAATTTGAAGATGTGTTTTTTTTTTTAATTTAAGCTTTTCGGGATACCTAAAAGCTTAGGGAGATTCAGAATGAATTTTTATGCTGGTTGTTGGGATACAAATTGGTTTAAGGATTTAAAACTTTTTGAGACCATCTTAGATACTTTTATAAGAAAGGTTATCATGTTCTAACCTCCAATATCTTTTCAATTAAGTTATAATCATCAAATAAAATAAAAACATATTTTTAATAATAAATATTTACCCCGAACCATTCAGATCGGCCATAAATCTCATATACATCACAATTAAAAAAAAAAAATATATATATATATATACAACATAATTTCAGAAAGAAAATTACACTAATAAACACATGTCTTTTTTTGTTTTCTCCATTAAATTATTTTTTTAATGGTCGATAAAATCTATATAAAGGGAATGCTCGATAAAATCACTACGAAGATAAAATATGAAAATATCAACCCATATGAATTCGATGTTTATTCTTTTGTCAGACTAATCAAGTTGTGTGACTTCTAATGTTTCATTCATCACCATTATAGATAAGGTAGATAAACAAATGTTAAAAAAAAAACAGCAAAGTCTCATACACAAAACTACACAATACATCAACAATGTATCCAACCCGGACTATGCATCTAGTATACACAATTTGTCAGATATTCTTATAACACTTCAAAATTCATTAGATAACAATTTTGAAGTTCATTAGATAACAATTTGAAGATGTGTTTTTTTTTACAGTATAAAAAACCTAGAATGGTTTTGTATGAAGTTAGGAGATGAAGTAACTAGAGATATGTTGTGTGGGATTCGACTAAAATAAAAATCATAAATTGGTAATCGAAGTAATTCATAAGGAGACATTACAAGTTTATTGCTAGCAACATAAGCCAATAATAATAATATGAATAATAATACCACCGTACAAGAAACTAATAGTGCTCGAGATACTTAATAACGAAACCATACAAAGATTCTGCCAAACACACAAAGAGGCTCTTTCTCTAAGTCTCAACCACGGCTTCCTCGTTTACCCTTCAGCTCAGGGTCCCTACACACATTCCAAAACAACCCACCACAATTCAGTGATTTCGAAGATTCATTAATCTGAAAATAGAGCTAGAAGTTAGATTCAAACCTCTGGATGTGATCTAGTATCAGTAGCCTTGGTCCTGGTGGGATGCTCACGTCTTTTAGCGCACTGGACACACACACACACAGCGTTTAGAGCGCAGACAAGTTTTTGTTGATACAGAAATGAAAAGTCGAAAAGTTCAGTTACCTATCAGTGAGCAGTGGCAGAGTGGGATCAGCTAGCAAACCCTTCTTGAAGTTCTTCTCATACTTCTCTAAACCCAGTTTCAACAGCATAGATCTCGCCCGGGTATAGTATGGATCTTCAACACTTGGTTTAGTGAACCGTTCCCCCAACTGAACAAGACCGGAAAAACAGAAATATATGTTTAATGAAGTATCTGCCTAGTTTCAAGAACAGTATAGTCTCTCCATCACTCACCTTGAAGAAAACTCCTTGAAAAAGAGAGAAACCAGCAGCAGTGGTGATTGCATTCATAGGCTGCCCTTGTAACCCTACGCTCACCAGAGAATACGCTACTCCAGATCCAAACGCCGCAACCACACTACAATAAAACAAGTAAATCACAGAGATTATTTAACCTTCAAAATATACACACAAGAGGTCAAAAAACCTATGAGAGCTGATGTAAGTTTGTGAAGCAATAAATAATGATTAAGACCTGTAACATATCTCAACCATATTAAATCCTAACTAAATGATAAAAAAAAAGTGACAAATGCAAATCATAAACACTAGATGCAGACAGTAATTGTCTCTACCACCAACTCCAAAACAAAATTTTCAAGGATTCAATTAGTCTTAAGATCATTGATGAAGAGTTACTACACTATACAAGCTTGGATTAAGATAAAGCTGCAAACTTTAAATAAAAAAATCAAAAAACTTACGCAGACTCAAGATCCTCTTTGCCTCTAATCCGCTTCATAACACAAGCTATACCAGCATTAACACCAGTAATAGCCGCAAAGTTCCGAGCTTGGACCAAGGGCCCACCCACAAGAGCCTATACAACATTCACACATCTCTCTTCAATAAATTGTGAAAATAAAATCCATCAAAGTTAGGGTTTTAAAAAAAAAAACAAAAAACCTGAGTTTGCTGCAACGAGGGCATAGCTTGAGGGTCCACACCGGTCTGAGGCATCTCAGGGGAGAGAGTTCCCATGAGACCACCGATAAAAGCTCCCTGAACACCTCCCATGGCGGTGACGACGGCGGCTTCCACCGGGAGCTTCTGTTGAGACAGCCACGATTTGAAGCCAGTCTCGGCCTCTTTGTACTTGATTTGAAGCTGTTGGATTGGGTTCTGGTGGTCTTTCATGAGGCTCATCACGGCCATTGTTTCTCCGTCTCCTCCACGCTTGTTTTTCTCTCCTGCGTCTTTCCCCATTTTTCTTCTTCTTCACACTTTTCTTGTTCTCTTGTTCTCACTCTCTCTTCTCTTCTTCTTATCTTACCTCGTTTTTACAATGCCGTCTCCGTTTCTGGTGAGGTTTGTTGTTTTGTTGTTGAGGCTTTGTGATGATGAGTTTGGGCTTTTTGTTTATGGCCCATTTAAGATCTATTTGGAGGGGGTTTAGACTTAATTGGGCTTTTTACATGTCTATGTACAAGTGGGGATAGCTTTGCCCTTGCAACCAAACGCCAAAGAAACCGGATAATTAATTGTTAATAATATCTTATACTTTTTCAAAATTATTAATTCACCCATCTATTATTATTTGAAATAAAGTCCAAAATATCACTAATCCAAGTTTTTGTCCACAGAGTAGCACCCAAGATAAATAATCACAAAAATAAGTTTCATTAAAGGGGAGAATTACCTTTATGTCTTTTTTTTTTGACTAACTAAAGGAAAAAAAACCTCAATCGAAAGTCATCTCCTTCGTCTCTTCGCCGTCTGTCGTGTCTCTTCTTCGCCGTCCGTTGTCTCCTCTTCGTCGTCCGTCGTCTCCTCTTCGCCGTCCGTCGTCTCCTCTTCACCATCTGTCGTCTCCTATTGTGTCCTTATCACTGTTCATCATCGTCTGTGCATCTTCTTGATCCGCCTTCGTCGTATATGCGTTAGCCTTGATCCGTCGTCTCTGCGTCATCGTAGATCCGTCGTCTTCTTCGTCTCTTCATCTCGTTCTCTGGTTTCTCTGATTTGGTCAAGATATCAATATTTCATTTTCGTTATACATTATCGAGTTTTTGATTTGTATGTGTTGTGGTTGTTGATGATCGAGTTTTTCCTTCTTTACATTGAGAATTGAGATACATTATGTGATCGAGATACATCTCATATGTGATTTGTATGTACATTATCGAGTTTTTCCTTCTTTACATTGAAAATCGAGATACAATTTCAACTTTATCATTGATACATTGATATTAGCAAAAACGTTTTATCAAATTGTTTGTGCTTATGAGATTTGCTTTTGACGAGTTGTTTTGTATTTTAGCTCAGTTAACAAATTCTTAATCTATGATACATTGACATTAGAACTAAAACACCATCACACACCACACAGGTTTGAAGCAATATCATATTGGACAAATTAGCAACAAAAAGAGCTAAGAACATCAAATATTCAAAATGCTTACCAAAATGAAATGTCACGAACTCTTAGGGAAAGAAGCTTTCCTGAGATTCTTCTTTGTAATTTTGAACTAAGAACAAGAAAAGAAACTCAATCTATTATATGAAGAATAACAAATCAAAATCCCCAAATTTCAATTAGAAAACCTAAGAAGAAGAATCATAGTGAAATAGCATCGTTGGAAACTCGAATCTTCAAGCGCTTCGTCGGAAATGATATCAATCTTCTATGCCGGAGATGATAGAACGAGGTTGAAGAACAACTCGAGCCGGAAATGATAGCATAGAGCCGTCATTTGAGATCGCCGTCGGAGAGAAAAGAAGTTTGTGATTTTTTTAAGTTGTTTTACTATATATAAAACAAGGACACTAGACATTTCGACCATTAATGAAGGTCATTTTTGTCATTTTCCCTTCTGGTGCTATTTTGGAGATAAAAACTTCAAATATGCTCAATTGCCCTTTTTGTTTTAACAATAATCAGCTCAATTGTTATTAATTTAAAATTTTATATGATACAATTATTATACATCACATAAATTAATAAACATATAAGTTTAGATTTGATAAATCAAATACATATATATCTTAAATGATTAAGCAAAAAATTTTGAAACATAGAATGAGCATATTGTATTCTAAATTCTTTTAAATCGAACACAAAATTTTGAAAATACATAATTTCTGCTTCGTCATTATTAAAAATTAATTATATAAAGTAAAAATGTAAACTTTGAAATCAATTAAGTGACATTAGAACTTATAATTTATTTAAGTACAACATAACAACAAGTTAAAGTTAATGATTAGTTTGTAAATAAAAAAATTCATCTTAAAAAAACTGCACAGTAGTTGTTCAGTTCTTCAAATTTTGAAGGAGAGACAAATATAGTATCAATAAAGAAAAAGTGAAAAGTAAAGCACTATTGGAGTTATTTTTGTTTGTCAATTTAAAAAACAACTCAAAAACTTTTTAATTTAAATGTTAAAATGTATTTGGTTGTGAAACCTCTTGTTCTAATGACTTACCTGATTATTCATTATTTATTTATTTATTTATTTTAAAAGGTTGTCCATTAATTCTAAAAAGATTGACTGATCTAAACGTATTTTATAATTTACTATTAATTTACATAAAATAAAATATTAAATTTGAAAAGAATATAAATCTGGCATTCTCACATTCGAAAGATCTATATAATTTCAAATTAGTTGTCTTTTTTAGATCTACATAATATTACTGTTGTTAAAGCTGCGTAGTAAACATGAAGCAGTAAATCTTCAAGAATAAAATATTGAAAGCAAAAGGAAATGATTCTTAACATCGATCGACGTGATTTGTTTTTCCACTAACATTATTATTTCAAAATATATATATTTTAAATTTTAAATAAATCAGCTTAACAATTTTGAAGATCAATATAAAATATAAATATAATTTTTTGAGTATAATATAAAAGAAGAGAATTTTGGCCATATAACCATTTAAAAACTAGAATTAAGAAAATAATTAAATTTCCGTTTTTTATTTCTTATTTTTCTTTCTTATATCTCTCTAGTCCATGGTTAGTTTGTTTAAAAAAAAATTAGTCATTTCACCACTTTATCCATCCATAAATAAAACCATATTTTTGAAGTAGATTTTAGATTTTTATTTATATCTATTAAACTTTGTATTTGGGCCTTCAAACTCCATCCGGGACTAGCTTTGCCTTAGCAACCAAACACTCCGAAACCGAAACAAGCGGTTTGTGACCAATCTTCCCGCCTCTTTCACACACTTACAATAATCTCTACCGGCGGCGGCGGAGACTTTCCCTTCCTTCCTCCACTCCGTCAATCTAAATCTCTTCTCCGGATTTCACCGTCATAGGTTCGCTAACTTCTCAATTCTTCCTCCTTCTTCTTCAGGTGAGCTTCAGTTTCATCGAATCTATAGCTTTTTAAGATCTCGTTTAGGGTTTTTGATCTGCGAAAGTAGTGCATGTATCCACGACCTGATTTTGTTTCAATTGAGTAGACATTGAAGTCGGAATAACCTTGAATTGGTGAAATTTGAGCTCTGGAGAAGTGAATCATGAGCAGCAGCTCCAGAGAGGGATCTCCCGATTGGCTTCGATCTTTCCAGGTTTCCTTTATTTGATTCAATCTGAATTTGATATTTTTCTTTAATGGGTTTGCTTTATTACAGAAACAGGATTGAAAGGTGGAAGCTTTTTTTTGTTTTTGTGTGTGTGTGTGTGTGCAGGCACCCACCACTTCATTGTTATCACTATCTTCTCCAGATGATAGTCCTTGCAGGGAATCTGAAACCGTTTCGTCTCTTCCTGTGCCTGATGACGGTGACGCCGTTACTATTGTGGACAAAGAGTCCAAAACGAAGTTGGTGACAAAGCAAGTGAGTATTGAGCAGGTGTTTTCTAGGAGGAAGAAGAAGAATGCTGATGCTACTGTTGACCTTGAAGGTATGGAAGAAGTGAGGGAGAGGCTATTAGTTTCTGATTTGAGCTTCTGGAGGCATGATTTTTTTTTAACTTGGGAACAATTTGCAGAGAAGGAGAATGGAAGTAAAGTTGATGGTGAAGAAGGCTCTAGCAAGCATAAGGACGCTAAAGTAAGAAATGTTTGTGCTCTTTGCTGCATCAACTTGTCTTAGTGGGTAGTTAGTGTGATTCCAACAGTTTCTTGTTTGCATGCATCTGTTTTAAAAAGGAAATTGTATTTAGTGAGATAGTGATCTCTTAGTTATGAACCCTCCTCTAGAGAAGCTTCGAAGCTGCAGGAATGATGTTGTAATTATGTGGCAGTGCTTTCTCTGTTCTCTACCTGTCTTAGTAATGTAAAAGAAATTTCTACTCTTAGTTTGGTATGGAGTTGACAGGCTATTGTGTATCTTTTTTCTTTATTAGGAAGGAGATGATTCTGTATGGCTTCTCTCATCTGATTCTGAACCACCCTCTAGTGAACCAGTGAGTCAGCAAGTGACTATGGCAACTGAAGAGGATGAGGATATTGCTATTCAAGCTAAGGAGAAAGAACCTGCGGTTAAGAAGGCTCCAAAGAAAAAATCTCCGAAGAAAAAGGCAAATAGTGGCCACCAGTCACCCAAGAAAGAAAACAGTGAGCAAGAAATTTTGAAAACTGAAGGTATGAGTTGAACCAATGTCTTGTGACTTTCGGATTATTCTAAAGCAATGTAACGGTTCCTGTATCATGCAGATAAAGATACAGATGCCACAGTAGCTGAGGAAGTAACAAAGGATAAGAATGTCAAGCCTTCTTCTGTAAGAATCCTTGGGCTAGGAAACACTATTGTTGTTTCTTCTTTGGTTCTTCCTTATGAATAGATTTATAAATTACAGGGCTCGAGTTCAAGATTGCCTTTGGTACTTTCTGAGAAGGTGAATCGCACAAAGGTAATGCAAATATGTTTCTTTGCACATGGTTACACTCAACGGTTATATATCTCTGCTATTGCGGCTGGTGACACCTATGTTACGGAACGGCGAAACTTCATTCATATTAGAGTTTAACTGTAGATAAAGACAGTTGTTAAAAAGCTATGAATTAATTTTACAGGTACTCGTTGAATGTGAAGGGGACTCAATAGATTTGAGTGGAGACATGGGGGCTGTTGGGCGCGTGGTTGTGTCTGACACAAACGAGGACGTGTACTTAGACTTGAAAGGCATGTTCCCTCAATCATTCTTCATATGCTGCATCTGATGTTTAAAACATGTACTAGAAAATCAGCTGTGCCTGTTGAGTATAACAGAACTGGTTATGTTACATGTCACACGTCAAAGCATCAGTTCATGACTGGAGTCTGTTTACTAACATTTACCATTTCGTGTTTCAGGAACCATATATAAATCAACAATTGTTCCATCCAGAACTTTTTGCATTGTACGGTTTTTTGTTTTCCCTGAACCTTCTTTTCAACTTGTAAGGGCACTAGTTATATGCAATTACTCACACCTGGAATCTTGAATTTCAGGTTAACGTTGGCCAGTCAGAGGCAAAGGTTAGTAAGATTTCTCTTGCGCTTTCTTGTTGCAATTGTCTTGAAGCTTTAAACTTCTTGGGAACTAGTTTTTAGCTGTTGCTTGGGAAATTAAAACATGGATTGGAGTAACAACCTATTTTTGGATCATATGTTTCCTTGTCAGATTGAAGCTATTATGAATGACTTCATACAGCTAACACCACAATCTAATGTCTATGAAGCAGAAACAATGATGGAAGGTCAGCTCGTTTTCTCTGTCTCTATATAGAGTGAAATCACATTATCACTACCTTATTTTCTTGTAGCACTATCGTTGATCGGGTAAAATGACTGTATACGCCATTGCCTACTTCTCCAGCTAACTTTATAACCTATTTATAGGCACTCTGGAGGGATTCACATTCGATTCAGATGATGAATCTAACAAAAACGGCAAGACTGCTTCAAAGCCAGCTGATCAAAGTGGAGGCCCAGCGGAGGTAACCAACGCAAATGGCAAAGCCAAAGCCAAAGCGAAAAGCGAAAGTGTACGTTGGCAAAGCTCAAAATTCCTCCTTATGATATTAATGTATGACAGTAAAGGATGTATTTGTGGATTGTTTGCAGGTTGTAGGGAAAAAGAGAGGAAGACCATCTAAAGAGAAGCAGCAACCAGCAAAGAAGGCTAGAAGTTCTGCTTCTAAGAAAACAAAACCCAAGAAATGAGTTCTGATTATTTTTTATTTTAAAACGTTCAGTTGAGATAACATTATATACATGACAGACAAGTTTTACATGTATGAATTATGAAATCTAATTCAAGGTACTAAAAAGGACTTCGGTTAATAAAGTTCAGAATCTCTGAGAAAACACTAAACATGATCTGTTTGCTTCCTTCCATTCAGTAATATATGTACCAATTCTCATTAAAAAAGGAAGAATAACGATGATTCATCTTGCACATGACTGCCTCAAAGCAGCTAGACTAAGGCCAAGAAGCAACAAGACAGGGTAAGGTCGAAGAATATCAGACGAGGATGGAGTCTTGGTAACCCTCCCAGTTTCGGCTCTCTGACTCTCATCCTCCATTGGCGGATTCATAAACTGGTCGTTTCGAGCTTGGTTTTCACTGGGAGGAGGCATCATAAACTGCCCATTCTGGTTCTGAGGTGGAGGAGGCATCGGATTCTGGTTTTGTCCAGGCGGGTTCTGATTCTGAGTTGGTGGAGCCATAGGTTGACTGTATGGATTCTGAGTTGGTGGAGCCATAGGTTGTCCATATGGATTCTGAGGCTGGCTAGGGGGATCCGAGTCTTGGCTGCTTGGTCTTTTTACCCTGGAACAAGAAGAGTCTGTTCAATCAGAACCTGCTAATATTTTTTAAAGGTTTCCAGAGAGTATTGTAACAAATTGAAAAGTGAATGACACATGATTTGATATACCTGCCAGGGCAAAAGATAATGGCATACTCAGAAGCCTTGCAAGTGAAAGTACTGCTTCCATCATCAAAGGCATAGCTATAAGCTCTAGGACAAGCTCTCTTGAAGACAGTAGAGTATGAAGACGGCCGGCATGTATTTGGGTTAGCAAACTGACCACTGCAACAGTACTGGTCTAATCCAAAGGCCTCACAAGCGCTCTTGCAAGCCACAACTCCTCCTCCTACTCCTCTTTCTTGCTCTCTCTCTCCCATCACTTGAAGCTCCTTTGGACAGTTAATGTTAATATCAGCAACACATCCTGTAGCATTACAAGCTCCAACTACTCCACCACCTGTTGGGATAGCAACTATGGGGAGGTTATACCCATCAACGAGACTCACATCGTAGAAATCTTTGTCACCAGAACCGTGACCGAGCGTAATCTCGAAAAGTGATGTGGGAGGAGCAGCACCATTACCAGCACACTCCAGCTTCCCACCACAGTCTCCGGTCATACATTTTCCCGCGCCGTTGGCATCAAAGTTGCAGCCGGTCCTAGCCCATATCCGACCTGACCAGCCTACAACCGAGGGAATTTTAACAGACTGTCCCACATCAAGCTTGAAACCTGTGGTGGGTAGTGGTTGGGTGCCAGAGCCTGAAAGAGTACCGGGCCAAATAGTAAAGGGACAGTTATTCGTGATGACGAACGTGGAGGCATAAGAAACGGAGAACAGTAGAGAAACATAGACAAGAACAGCCATGGGAACCATTGGTGATCTTCCCATTATGGTATTAAAGTTTATGATTTCAGAAATGTTTAGGTCCCTGGAACAGGGTTTATAACAAATAAAATGTAGAGGTTGATAAGGATTCAATGTTGAGGCGGTGAAGTTGCTTTAGAAAGCTTCAAGCCGTAAGACAATGAATCAGGGTTTAGCATTACTCCTAGGACACTGGCCTCTCAGACAAGGCTATTCTTTGCCTTACTTTCCCAACCCTCTTTTTCATCTGTATTATTATATTATTCTAAGGAAATATAATCGAACTAATATGAAACCTCTATGAAAAGATTCAAGAGAATCTACACCATGTTCCCACTTCATTCAGATTCTAGTTCCTTGACAAATGAGTTGATATAGTTGTGAAAGATCAAAAAGTAACCAATAATAACTTATTTAACAAATACTAACCACCAATATTAAATGAGAAAAGTAAATCTATCAAACCAAATTTGTATTTTCGATTCTTACTTAAATATTTAACTGAAGAATAATGAACATTATGATCTACAAAATAAAAGCACAAAATCATTTCGTTAATTTTCTCAACTCTAAACAAGATGAAAATTTAAATAAATATTGTTATATACTTATCATTAGCTAAAAAGGTAGAAATATTCCCGTACCGTATTTTATCGTAGCGGCGAGTCAACATTTGATACTTTGCCAACTTATTTGGAACTGAATCTTCCACGATCCCAGAAAATCTATGCTCTACATCAAACCATGGAATGCCTACATCCTCTACCTTTCTGTCATCGAAGCAACATATAAAAATTCGTATTCTATATGATGACTACAGTTTTTTTCTTAATTTTAAGTTAATTTAAATCATCATTCAGACTAGGTGTTACTTAGGACTATGATTTAGTGGGAGTATGTAGTAACATAAGAGCTCAGATTCCATGAACTTTACCAGAAACTTTACATTGTAAAGAGATTTGTAACTAAAATTAACAGGTAATGGTACAGTATCAGAAACTCAGATACAGTCAACACCAGAGAGAAGCGGAAAACGTAACAAGGCAGAAGATAATTAACATGAGAATTAAGAGCAAAGCACGTGGCAATTCCATAAACGTCATATACAGAAATAATTACCATGAATAGCTGATAGTTTTGCACACAGTTGGCCAACCACATCCTCCCTGGGTGATTGTACTTTCTCATATTCTTCCTTTCTCTCATAGCTAAGGAGCTTTAGCTTATGTTGCTAGTGAATTAAACCAACCATGCTGTTGCCTACTGAGCACAAACACAAGAGGACCTGCAAAGAAAGGTTTTAAAACTTCCAACAGTTAGACTAACTCATTTATTAAAAAAAAAACTCAGAAACATAACATTGTACATAAATGAAGCATAACTAAACTCCCTGAATTTCAATATTGGAAAACCTGCACAAACATAATACACATTCAGGACCTCAAGCACTAATCAATCAGGGAAATGAAAGTTGATTAGTACAACAAAGAAATCGTTAGTATTAGGTATCAACTAGAAAACAGTAAACATCGTTATCCTGAAGAACCTATGCTGCATCGGTTAGCAACATGGAAAAATCCTGTCGCACCACACTTACAGAAATCACCAATGCTGTGTCAAGCTCTTCTTACTAGTAGGTCGCTAGCCAAAACAAGATACCTAGCTGAATAAAAGCCTGCCTAAATAAACATCGTGTACAATCACCAAGAATAAAAAAAAAAACAAATTCACACAAGAGGATACATCAAACATCACCAAGAAGAAAAAGGAAGCAAAGTTCATTATTCTACATCACCTAAATGCAAAAGCAGTAAGATCCAGAATAAAACAATAGAATAATAAATAACGTCTCTCCTACATAAGTACTACTACATAAAGTTCAGCAATAAAGACAAAGCTCTCTTTCAGAGAGACCTCCCTGTCAGAGTAATAGCACATACGTCTCTTATCCATAGTTGTCCAAAAGAAAAGAAAAGAAAAAGATAAATTAAGTTATACTAGGTGAGACAAAAGAGCCTCTCAGCTCTCAGAAACTGAGGAGATGATCATCAACAATGATCTAATTCAACTCCATGCCGTCTCCAGCAGGGCTACAAATCGGACTCACAGCAGTGAAAGACCTCTCAAAAGGAGAAGAACCATGGAGCTGAGCATCACGCCTACGACGCTTAAACGAACAACTCTCAGAAGAAGGAATGCTCTCGTTGCTGTCAAGCTTCCTCCTCACACCCCTAACCGCCTGCTCCTCGGCATGCGAGAGAGGGAAAACCTTGCCGCTGGCTCGGCACAGAGAGGTGTGGTTATCGTAGAGGATACGTTGGTTACAGTTGTAGTCACAGACGTGAGTGAGTCCTGTTAGTTTGCAGCGGTACATGTTCCCGCAAACGTTTTCGTTCTCGCATTTCCAGTCACATTTGTGACCGTTGCTTTCGTGACCTAGAATTGTAGATAAGTAAATGACATTTGCAGAGGTAACTATGGGGGATTTTCCAAATACCTCCTCCATCTTCTTGTTTTTGATGAATAGAAAGCTCAACACAAACGTTTATATTCTGCATAATCCGAAGAGATTCATCAATATCGTGCAACAATGTGCAATCTGAGACTAATAACTTGGTGGTCACGACTAGGCGCCCGCCTAGGAGTCAAATCAGACCTAAACGAAACGATTTTTCTTTTTTCTTTTTAAAAAAACAACTAATCATTTAAAAAATCAGTTTAGACACCCGCCTGATCAATAATCTCTATAAAACGCCTAATTACCACATAACTATTTCTTGAACATTGTAATTAGCTAATCAATTATTATTATGTTTTTTTTTTTAGGTAATCAAATCAAATCCTATTTAGAAATCAAACGGAACAAAACCAACCGAGTCATTGTTTTTTCTATTACTAGTTTCCCGACCTTAGGACTGTGATCTCGAACAGCTTATAGAAATTCTAATTTTTTAAAAAATAACAATGAGTAGCGAAGAAGATTTGAATCCAAGGCATAAAGAAACTAACTCCTTGCACTAACCACTAGATCATCAAGTAATTTTGTCATTGTTTCATGCGAATCATAATCCGAATTTTAAATAATTCACATTAGAATATTAAGAAATTCAAAAAATTAAATTAAATTGTAGCTGTGAGGTATAGCTACCAGATCCGACGGAGGAGTGAAGAAATTTCAAATGTTTGAAAGCAGAGAAGATAGCTTGGATAGAGAGAGAGAAGACAAAGATACCTGGAGAGAGAGAGAAGACGCGTGGAACAAGCCCTAATTTTAATTCGAGAGGAAGAGGAAGAAGAAGAGCAAAGTGAGGGAACAAGAAGAAGAAGATATTTATAGATTAGACTCTCTCTCTCTCACACTGTCTTCTAACGGATAACTATCGTTGAACTCCGTTATTTATAGATTAGACTCTCTCTCTCTCACACTGTCTTCTAACGGATAACCATCGTTTAACTCCGTTAATAAACGGGTCCCGCCACTTCATTTTCCCTCGTTTTATTATTGTTTATTGGTTTTAGAGGAGAAATTGCTTAACTAATTCGTCTATATTTATTTCGTTTTATTAGTATTGTTTATTGATCGTGTTACAAAAAAAAATATTGTTTATTGATTAAACATCTACTTAACTTAATTCGTCTATACTTGTTTCGTTTTAAATTTGTCTTATCTCGAAAGAGAATGAAAATCAGGTCACGTATCAGCAATTTGAATGGTTATTATATAAAATCTCAAATCCTTCTCCCTCAACTAATTTTCACCACATTTTCACCTATTTTTCTATTTGACTGGATTTGTATATGAAGTTTGACCCATTTTCTCGATTAAATTAGTTATTGTTGAGTGCCGAAAAATGATTATTCTTGATTTATAATATTATGATATATTTATATAACGAAATGTTAGATAAGGAATTAAAATTGAATTTTTAGATTTTGCCAAAACTTAAAATTTTTAAATCATATATTAAAAATAGAAAGAAAGAAAAACGAAAGAAAAGGAGGAAGGAGAAGAAGAGCGTGAAGCTAGTGTGTGAGAGGGCGATGACTTTGAATCACCTAACTTCACCCGCCTTCTTTGCTCTTTCACATCTTATTCAGTTTATCAATTAACAACTTAATTCATTTGATCAAAACTTTTATCATTTAAATTTTGAAAGTATGGTAAAGTCGGATATTATGTTATAATGCCTTATTGGTAAATCAGAGGATCACCATAAGTGTTGAATTCAAGAATTACTCCTGTTGATATACTTGAAATGAAATTTTATCCGTGCGAGATTAGTCTTCAGTCAAAAAAAGTTTGAAAGTATTATTATATTATATAAATCTTATTAAAAGGTATTAAAAACTCGCTTTATACTGTATAATATGTATTTTACATAGTAAATTCGAAAGAAGTAGATATATCTAAACGGTCAGTGGCTCCGCCACCTTGTTAGCATGTGGGTCAATTGACCCATGTGAATTTATAAAAAAAAAGTTGTACATGTATATTTCTTTGGAAAACTGGAAAATTAGTGTATAATTTAGTTAATTGACCCCTGTAATATATGATAATTATGAATTGACCCTCCTGACCAACTTGCCTAGCTCCACCACTGTAGACTGCCCTGTGTTTTTGTTTCTGAATCAAACAGTATCTCTATTAATTGAACAAGAACCTGCATAGCAATACAATACACACCAATGTAATAGTATGGAAGTACGTGTTCAAAAGAACAAAGGAGGCTAACCAAAAAGTTACATGGGATGTGAACCCTGAGTTACATGAGAAACAAAGTCTAAATAATGAATGTAAGCGGCTAAATTTAATTTAAGTTCATAGAAAAATTGGTAAGGGCGTTTTGACATATGCAAAATGTCTATATAGGATAACACATTAAAAAATTGGTAAGGACGTTTCCCATGGATTTGTTGGAACATCTAGAAGGCAAGAAACGACAAACTCTTTAACTGGAAAGTCGTAGCTCTGATGGATATTTTACAACATGCGTCTCTTGAGGCAGAATGTTGGAGAAAAGCAAACATGAGAGAGGGAGTCGACGAGATCTCTGAGGTACCTCCCTCCTTGGAGACCGTGACAAAATCCTCTAGAACCCCCGAACCCCGATCCGCCAAATTGATGCATCATAGATCGATTATGGCAGCGTCAGTGGCTTAGGATGGAGTCTTAAGGATCATATGGATTATGAGTGGGTCGGACAACGGGCGTGCATGAGAAACCGTTCAGCTCTGCATGCAGAGATGGAAGACCTACTCTGGGCAGTCTCATGTTTGAGAGACTTGCGGATCAACTAGATGAGGATTGAGACGGACTGCATAGACCTAGTAGACATGTCTCTAATCCGGAGGAATGGCCAACCTTTATAACAGAGATCGAGAGACTTAAGAGACTACATGAGGACTTTGAGGATATGAAGTTTTCTCATATTCCTCGAAGTAGGAATGGTCGAGCGGATGAATTAGCTAAAGAGGCGAGAAGAAAATGATATACTTTTCCCATATAGATTAGACCAGACCAGATGGAGATGCTCCTAAGAGGATCGAATCGTCTGATCACCACTTGATCTAGCTTTAGATGCGCGGTTGACAAAAAAAAAAAAAAAAAAAAAAATAAAA